AACCTAACCCTAACCCAAACCCAAAACCTAACCCTTACCTTTATGTGACTCGGCTTTCTTTTTTTTTAATTTTATTTAAATTTTTAATTTTTTTCGTCGCGCTGTGATGACGTCACATGCGCGCTTTCATCAAGCGCGATTTTGTCCTCCGCGGTTTTGACGGGTCACGGTCCACGGATTGGTACCGGGCTGCAGCATGCCAGAAACTAGGCCACGCAAACAAGTGAACCCCATCCATAGGATGCAGGCAGCCCACAAAACCACGCCCCCTCCGGTCCGTGGGAAAACCTCTCTCCGCGGAACTGGTCCCTGGTGCCCAAAAGTTTGGAGATCGCTGAGCTAATGTAATGATATGGGTGGGACTTTATTTTAGGATTCCTTGCTGTGGCTGTTCTGTATTTAGCTGTGAGTTTTGGAAATGGGAGACTCAATTTAATTAGTGTTTTAAACTTGTCTTTCCTCAGGTACTGGTGGAATGAGCGTTGCATGTGTCTTGAAGAGAAAAGCAGTGCTCTGGCAGGACTCTTTCAGCCCCCACCTGAAACAGCACAGTCAAGAAACAGCTAATCCCAACATGCCTGTTGTTTTGACATCTGGAACAGGGTCCCAGGCTCAGACACAGCCAGCTGCAAATCAAGCCCTTGCAGCAGGGACCCACTCCAGCCCTGTTCCTGGATCCATAGGGGTTGCAGGTCGCTCCCAGGACGACGCAATGGTGGATTACTTCTTTCAGAGGCAGCATGGTGAGCAGCTTGGGGGAGGCGGAAGTGGTGGAGGCAGCTATAATAACAGCAAACATCGGTGGCCTACTGGGGATAACATTCATGCTGAACATCAGGTAAAAAGTTAAAATATTTCAGAACTGAACAAATGAGCTACGCGGGCCTTATGGTGGCTGCATGCAGTGAACGTTATGAAATTTCTGTGTATCTGATTGATCATGTTTCCTTCTCTTGCTTCTTGCATTTCCAAACTGAAATTCTTTTGCTTGGGGTGGCAGCAACGTGAGATTCCAAATGCCTTTTTATTTCAAATCAGAATATCCCATTGTTTTAAGCTTGTTTAATTTGCTTTTTGTATCCAGACGCTTTCCTTCTTTCCCTCATCCTTTTCTTTCCTTTTCAGATGTGTTGCTATTGTTTAATCTATTTGATACATTTATGAAAGCTGTTAAAGCATCGCTGGCAAAATCGCTTTATGTTTTATATTGGTAGAATGTTTATAGTTTGCTGCTTGTTCAGTCCCATGTCTAATGGGACTGGGGAAGCATAACTAAAAACCAAACATTCCTTTGACATTCATTTCCCTCCGCTCTCCTCCTGCTGCTGCTAGTAAATATTTTTTAAGGAAGCTGAATTTTATTACTTGTCCAATAACTGGGGAATTTAAAAAAATTATCTTTCAAATTAAATTTAAAACAGCAATTTGGTCACCCAAAGTGTTTCTTTTTTGCATGGGCTTTTTGTATATTGTTTCAGAAACTAAATTATATGGATTCAGTAATTATATTTCCCTGAATCATCTGTCAAAAGCCATTGAAATGGGAGTGTGTTTCCACTAGGCTCTTTTCTTTTGAGCCAAATGGAAGAAGGGGTGGTCGTGGTGATTTATAATGTAGGCAGGAAATAGTTGCTGCTATATGCCTTTGTTCTATGTGCTTGGAATGCTGTGCAGCAATTCACTATATTGTATTCATATATAGAAGGCTGTGTGGAGTTATGGGGATTTAGAAGACAGGGTGGGTCTGTGTTTATTTTTTATGTGTTGATGCTAATTTAAAGATAATGATTTTCACAACTTTTAGTTCTTTTTTTTTAGCATATTGGCATTCCTAGATTGTTTAAAAGTGAACATTGGAAACCAACCTCATTAAACATATATTTTTTAAAGCCTTCCTAAGCTAATGAGGATCTTGAACAGGTTCAATCTCTAAGAATACGAAGTTTGGATCAGAGTTGAATGTCCAATTCTTAACATTTTTGTCCTTCTAGGAACCAGTCACCCCCTTTTAAAAGTTGACAAAGAGTAAGAAAACCTGTGAAGTGTAACTATGTTTTGAGAAATTTACTCTGTAGATTTAATCTTATACATAAAGGGAACCGCATAATAAATCATTGCTGTCTTCTTACAAAAATGAATTGTGCAATTTTTTTGAGAATGTCTATCAAATAGTAGTAGTTGATATCTCAGTATTTTTTTCTAGCAGAAATTTATATATATTTACAACCCCCTGTATGCCCAAATAGGGTATGGCTAGCTGATGAGAGCTAAATAGCTTGAAATAGATCTATACTAGTCTCCCTTTATTTATTTATCAGCACAAATACAATATATAGATATATATGGATAGATAGATAGATAGATAGATAGATAGATAGATAGATAGATAGATAGATAGATAGATATAGAGATTAGATAGAGGTAGAGATATAGATTAGATATAGATATAGTTTATTCACTCTTCATATCCAGATTTCAAACTGCTAACTTGATAATTTCTTCCCAGGCTTCTGTACTGCTTCGATTCCTACCATGTGAGGCTCTTCTCATGGAAGACTTCAATTAGCACATTGCTTTGAAACAATGTTATTTTTTAAAAATGTATTCCATATGAGTGACAGTGACAAATTAACACACTGAAGTAATTGTTTTTGAAGCATCATTAAAATTCATACATGATTGGTAAAGTTAACATGGCAGCAGCTGAGAATGGCAGATGAAAGAGGAGAGTCCTGACACACTTTCTAAAAAAGGATAAAAGCCACCAGATAATCTGCTGTCTCTTTAAGAGCTTGGGAATTAGCAAGATTCTTAATAGGATAAACCTTTATGCATGACCTCAACCAAAATTTTGATGAGCTGGGATAAAACTATTATCTAGCATGTGGCACAATACTGTTTAGATAATAGTATATGTCACAAAATCTGCGTGGTCTGCCTTTCTGCCTGTCCTCTTTTGGGAGGACTTTCCTATCCTTAGGCTGATTCTTTCTGTAGATCAATGATGACTAACCTTTTTGTCGTGTGCCGAAAGCCCGCACCCATAATGCAATGTGTGCATGACCCCCACTCCCGGCACCCTGTTTTGGGCCTGGAAGGCCTCCTGCACCAACCTGGAACCCAAAGGGGGCGTGGGGGTGCTGCGCAAGGCCCCAAAATGCAAGCGCCCCTCATGCACGCCCCACGCCCCCATGGATGCATGCACGCATCCCCTGTATGCGCCTCCCCCGCGCATACGCATTAGAGACCCGAAGACCAGCTGGCCGGCGGGAGGCAGGTGCATATGATCGTTGAAGCTGGTGTGGGGCAATGGCTGTTGTGCCCGCAGAGAGGGTTTCTGCGTGCCACCTGTGGCACACGTGCCATAGGTTGGCCATCATGGCTATAGATTATGCGAGGGCTTTCATACCAGCCCTTTTTCAGGATTTTCTAATAACTCTTAAAAATATTCTTACAGCAGGGGTTGGCAAACCTAAATACTCAAAGAGCCATTTGGACCCGTTTCCCACAAAAAAGAAAACACCGGGAGCCACAAAGGTCCTAACCGGAAGCCCCCTGTTCAATTCTGGAGCTGACCGGAAGTTCAGTTCCCACACCATAGTGCCTCCTCCTAGTACGGTGTACTTTTTCCTCTACCTATCATAACCGAAAGCCCTATCAATTGTGGAGACAACTAGAAAACCCTCCCCTTGCCATAGAGTCTTCTCCTGGCGCACTGTGCTTCTCTCTCTCCCTCCCCCACTGGAAGCTCTTCTCAAAACTGTGGTGCCGACCGGTGATGGAGCCGCAGCAGAGGGAGGAAAGAGCCACATGCGGCTCCAGAGCCGCAGTTTGCTGACCCCTGTCTTATAGCATTTGGTTGTGCTTCTGAATGAAACAAAGCTCAGGTGCTGATTTGATACGTAAAATGTAGGAATCCATTATAGATGAAATGTCTACTTCCTGAATTGTACCATACAGTGATACCTCGTTACTCAACGTAAATTGAGGCATGACGAGTACTAAAAAACCGAGTATCACACAGATTTTCTGCGTAAGGAATCGGGTAGTGAATCACAAAGCAGCCATCGCTGACAAGTTCTAGCTTGTGCATTAGGTACTGGGGGGAAATTTCGCATCAGAATGCATTGAGTACCAAATTCAATGAGTTTCACAGCAGTATCAAGGTGCCCCCATGTTTCCTTTCCTCTGGGTTAGAAACAGAAAAAGGTTGCAAGTGTTTATGAAACACACTTACTTTTTCATGAAAAATACAATTTTTTAAAAAAAAAAAGCTTGATGTGGAAATGTATATATCAAACTGCTACTTATTTAAAGCCTGTATTATTTTTTTGTGCATCCTCGGACAGTACGCAAATTTAAACAATTTAAGATTTCATATGTCATCAGCTATTTTATCTGGGTGCATTGTGTATAGAATATGGGAATTAAATTTTTTAAGACGGTCCTTCTGAAAATGCTTTTGATGTGTAAAGTGATTCTATACCTTGTTAGGGATAGACAATTGTTTTGTTCCTAAACCAGTTTTTATTTAGTGTCTGATAGCTGTGCCATTATTTAGATGAGGATAAATCTGGAGCATAGATTTACTGTGGAAGGAAAATGGTTTTTTTTAAAAAAAGAAGTTTCATAATGCAGCCCTATGTATATCAAGTCAGTTGAATCCAATTGATTGTGGAAGGACACTGGAATCTAAACAAAAGGTCTGGAGCTCTTACTCATTCAGCAATTACCCATATTGATGGGAATTAATATGGGAATTATGGGTTAGCATTCCTGAAAGACACAAGATTGGCAAAGATGCTGTTAAGCTTACAAAACTTAACACAAGAAAGTTTTCTACATCCTGTCAGCATAGGCGGGACAATAAAGAGGACAAGGGTAAGGATTTTAATAAATGCTTTTACCAACATATGGTAGAAAAGAGTAATTGAAAATTAATCCAATAAAATAAACCCGGAATCTATTGAACAAAGATGAATACACACAGAGCCAACAAAACAATGCAGCAATGCAATGCAACCATATTAATAAATAATAAAATAAGCTTATTTACTTGCCTTCATTTGTAATAAAATAACCACACGGTGATTTTTTAACTACTCTAGGGTAGGGGGTGAATATATTTAAAACAGATGCAACCTACGTCTTTCTAGTAAATGCAATTAGGGTGAAACAACTAGAACCTACACCAATTCACTAATGAACTCATAGAAAAATGATTTCAAACCATCATATTTCCACAGCGGGAAAGGGGTTGGTTGCAGAGTTACAGGATCATGTCCCTTAAAGACCCAGAATCTGAAGACAGTGACAGTGGCATGAGGAACCAAAACATAAAGGAAGACATAGGATTATGTGATTGGAGGGCTGTAAACACAAGAACCAGGAAATTGTGAAAGTGATGCTGGAAGGTCCAACAGAGTCAAAATTTCACTGCTCTGTACAGATAGTCCTCGACTTAACAACAGTTCATTTAGGGATCGTTCAAAGTTACAACGGCACTGAAATTTGTATGACAAGTGTTTCACTGTTACGACTTTTGCAACAGGCCCATGATCATGTGATCAAAAATTCGTATGCTTGGCCACTGGTTCATGTTTATGACCGCTGCTGTGTCCCAAGGTCACGCGATCAACTTTTGTGACCTTCCAAGTTCATTGAACAGCAGCCGGCTCATTAACTTATCAACCCTAGTGATTCATTTAACAACTGTGGCAAGAAGATGGGGCAAAACTCGCTTAACAAATTCTCACTTAACAACAGAAATTTTGGGCTCAATTGTAATCGCAGCTAGAGAGCTAACTGTACTAGGATCATGGGACAGGGAGAGTGGTC